TACACATCTGGGGGGGGGAAGATCCGCCGTGGCCTTGGCTCACGTTATTTTTCAATCTATCGTGGATACAACCTCGAGAGATGTAAAAACCTCCCACTCCGGCGAGATAATTCAATCTCGAAGATTAAATTATCGATTTAGTACCGAGACAGAGAGAACGTCCCTTTCCCGCTCGCCGGGAGATCTAGAAGAATCGTACGACCCTATCGGTCGTTGGATTAGACGGCCGTTGTTAAATTCATTGACGGTAAATTGGAAAGTGCGGAAAGACCGATGGAATAATTTAATCGCCGAGAATGAAATTATCGATCGGTGTCGGGGACTCGGAACTCTGCTGCCCACGGTTGGACAAGAATCCCATAAATATCTCGCGGCGATTATACGCCGAAGATTTCTCGATGCAATTTAAGAGGCGATCGAGTTTAATCTATTGCAAATAAATAGAGTAACGAGAGAGAGAGAGAGAGAGAGAGAGAGAGAGAGAGAGAAAGTAAATCGAACGAAATGAAATAAAATAAGGCAGAGGAAAGGCGACGGGATGAGAGAACGGTTCCAGAGGATACAGAGAACGCTGAAATCTCATAAAATACAAACGCGTTGCGATGTAGCATCGTCATTTGTTTCTACATACACACGTGAAGGTATCACGAGCCATTAGAGTATTGAGAGCGAAACAGTTGTTACGAAAGTTTTTACGTTTAAAGCTCTGTTGTGCATTATTTTGAAAGATGAAGGCAACTGTGCAAATTTTATGAATGAATCGTATCTCTAAAACCATTTCGTTTCGTAAGCTTATCGTTGTCGTGACTATTATAAATATCCTCGGTGAGGTTTATTTGTAGAAATAGGAAAATGTGTTGTCTGTCCTTGACATTGAAACGCATTGTTAAAAACATTGTTCCACTGCGCGCTACCAATTTTCACACGAAAAGGGGAGTAAAAAAATTATTTAAAATTGATTAAAATGTTTACCATTATAAAACATTGCCACAAATTGAAAAAACACACCTCCGTATCACCTCCGTGTCCCCAATATGGGTAGATTGCATAGTTTTGTTAATTTAATAATATGTAAACACATCGCATGCGTAGAATTCTGTCTAACATACAAGGTGTTAAATTAAATCGAACATCTAAATTACTTCGACTGCTACTAACGTTAGAAAAAACTGACTGAATAGAATTCAAATGGTCTCGAGGCACGCATCTGACTTTGCTAAAAAGAAAAATCCTGCGAAGATTATTTTTTCGGTGTTATTGCACTTTTTTTGGGATGTTAAGGTCCATTTTTTATAATGCGATAATGCAGTCGACATCAGAGTGACGTTGAAGACTTTACCAATATTAACAAAGTTTGTTCATAATGTTTTCTTTATTTAAAATTATTTAAAATTTATAATAAATAAATTTACTTGAAATTATTTAAAATTTATAATAAATAAATTTACTTGAAATTATTTAAAATTTATAATAAATAAATTTACTTGAAATTATTTAAAATTTATAATAAATAAATTTACTTGAAATTATTTAAAATTTATAATAAATAAATTTACTTGAAATTATTTAAAATTTATAATAAATAAATTTACTTGAAATTATTTAAAATTTATAATAAATAAATTTACTCGAAATTATTTAAAATTTGTAATAAATAAATTTATTTGAAATTATTTAAAATTTATAATAAACAAATTTACTAGAAATTATTTAAAATTTATAATAAATAAATTTACTTGAAATTATTTAAAATTTATAACAAATAAATTTATTTAAAATTGATTTTTCCCTTCATTGATACACTTTGTTACAAAACTTTATCGAAAACCTCTCGCAAACAATTGGCGAAACGTTAGTAAACTTTCGATCAATCTAACACATACTTTTGCAACGTTCCAGTCATACTGTCGGTAGCATGTGTTCGAATTGCGTTCAACCAGAGAGTTATTAGCAAATGAAACGCTTTGTAACGATATTTGCGACTATTACGTAGAACTGTTTAACAGTTTAAACTTAGTTAGTGTATCATCGAAGTATAAAAAATACAAAGATCACGAAGAAAATGATCGAAACCTCACGGGTTTTTTTTTTCCTTTCCTTTTTCTTTTTTTCAACAATAATAATTTTAATTATTTTAACAGCGATCGACGCTGGACTTGAAATTAACACCCTGTACACTTGACTCGACATACTTCCCCGTGTTAGGCGCGTTTTCTTCCATGAATAGACTGGGGGGCGAAAGAAAGCTTGCGAAGAAATTGCCGCGAAACGAGGGGTCCATTCTATTCGTTCGAAACTGCCGTTACAATTTACAGATAGAAACACTTTCAACAATGCCGTGGAAGTTGTGTCCATATGTTGGTATGAATGCAACTATGCTTGCCGCCTTTGCGAGGCCTGTTTACAGTGGGTACACTGACCCAGGAGCATCGGGGCTCTTTGTGCTCCGCGCCATTCACGGACGTTGGCGACGATTAAACAACGCGATATACCTGGATATATATATATATATATACTCTCGATAAATGCGGACAACATCGAGCGTGACGATCCTGGCCGTCGACTATTTTTCGCCGAGTTCTTGAAAAATGTCCGATGTCGCCGTTCACGGCCACATTCGAGTGAAACCTGATCAAACATATTCGAGAACAAATTATTCTTGCCCACGAGAGCCGACACGATAATTGCTAAACAGCAGCGATCTATCGTTTACACTGTGATTACCATAGTTTATATTCTGTTAAAAATATAAGAAAGAAACCTCAGGCGAGGTTTCCAAAGGTTAAATTTAAAAAAAGGTAAGTTTAGAACACCTTTTGAACGTTGTACGATCGTTTTTGGCAATTTGGAACATTTTTCAGTTCTCATTCGCGGAACGAAGAGAAAGGAAAAAAAAAAAGAAAAGACACGAAGTTGGAGGTATCTGTCTGGTTCGTTGTACAGGGTGGGCCGAAAGTTTATAGTTAAACACACAAGGAAAAATTAATTTTATCAATTTTAAATTCAAAAAACTCGAAACGTTCTCTCTCGTCACTTTCCGAACTCGTTGAAACACGGAGTCGTTTCGTGTGCTCTGTATTATGAAATACTGGCCTAAAAATTATCCAAATTGTTCCGTCGGACAAAGGGAAGAGAGAAAGGAAAGCATCGATTCGGGAACGAAGGACCAACAGTAAGGAAAACGCGAGGGATAATCGGATCGAACGAACATTGACTCTCCCTCGGGCAATCCGAAAGCCAAGACACCCCTCTGGGGCCCATCCCCAGACGCGTTAATCACCGAAAACGAAAAAACCTCGAGTACGAGACGGGCCGAAAGTCACGGATGACCCCCTGACACTGTGCTCCCGACACGCGACGAGATATCGATTGCGAAGGGAGAGCGGTTCGTGGGCGACGATTCTCTCGGAACAGCCGACGCACCGTGATAAAAGGCGAAGAGCAATGGCTCGAGAGGAGTGACTTTCTTTTCTGTGAGAAAGACGCGGCGCGCGAAAGGAACTTTCGTTTGGGCAACGTTGGGGAGAAACGTGACAACGCGACGCGGCGTATTCTGGCGCTGATTGAAAGTAGTTTGTCAGCGGCGGCCCTTCCATCAGGCAGATTGCTCGAATTTCCGCGGCGGGATCCGTGTTTCTTTTTTTTTTTTTTTTTCCTTTTTTAATATCAGCGACGAGAGGCAGCGTCGAAAGTAACGTGCCGAGTGGAGAGAGAAAGAGAGAGAGAGAGAGGCTTTTTCTTTCGCCTTGTACTAATAATTTGAAAGACAAGAAAAGAAAGGATCCTCCGCGAGTAAAAAAAGGAGCAGTTTCTCTCTACCGAATGAGATAATTGCCCGGCGACGCTCGGGGAAAATTCGTGAAACGCGGGAACGGAAAAAAGATTGGTGGAAGAACGTTGCGCCGGGATAATTATCGCGGCAAGACCGGGATGGAAAAAAAACGGCGAAAGAGAGAGAGAGAGAGAGAGAGAGAGAGAGAACGGGCGGAAAGGCGTTTCGTTATATTGTCCACGCGCGAAGCTCGAATGGACAAGCGAGGGATCCTCTCTGAAGAATCGGAACCGTTCGTTTCGCTTTTGGGGTGGATCTCGCGCGTGTTTCAACTGGATCAAAGAGCACGCGTTTCCACGACAAGCAGTTCACAAAGGAGCCCATCGATCCTGCCAGCTCCCGGCGCCGTTCGACTTTTCAACTTCAAACTCCGGCTAGACTAATTAAACGCTTGATCTTATTCGCGAATTTACATCTTTACGTCGCTTCTAAAAGGCCGCAGGCTCCTCGGCGAATTTGCGTCACTGTGTGAGCGACCGTCCTTGACCAGAGAACCCCTCGTTTCGCCTGCGAGAATCGGTCAGTCAGCCCGACTCACCCCCGTCACCACACAACAGCCCCCTTTCGAAATGCCAAGGATGAACAGAGAGCCTCGACGAGTAGCGGAGTTGCGTTAAACTCTGGCCAAGTATCCCCGGGCGTCCTTGACCACTCCGTCGATTCGATCCCCCTCCCCCACGTTCGCCCCATTGTCTCGAACCTCTCGATACGAGGTGGTCGTTGGACGACGAAACCGATCTCCTCTTGCACCACCGCACTTGATCGCCCGAATTATCCACGTGAAACCTACCCAAACCCCGGTTCCCCCGCAGGCTGGTCTCATCCAAAGCCGACGAGTCTCCTCTCCATCGACACGTCCACTCGGGCCCTCGTTGATCCTCGTCTCGAAATCCTCCTTGGAGATCCTCCAGCAGAGGGGCACCAAGCACGCGTCGCGTCGCGAAACCGTCGCGAAACTGTCGCGAACGAACACCGCGAGGGAGAAGAAAAAGTGGGAGAGACAGAGAGAGAGAGAGAGAGAGAGAGAGAGAGAGAAAGAAAGAGACAGAGATAGATAGAGAAAGAGAGAGAAAGAGAGAGAAAAACGGTGTCGCGTGAGGTCGGCGTGTTCTGCGGCGCGCAACTGGCCCCGGTGTACTCCGCTCGGAGCGAACAGGTTCGCTGCCTTGTCCGAGGGCTTGTGACCCAGTTCGAGTCAGGGCCGGAGAGTGCGCGCTAACGGCCGACAGCGCGTCGCGATACCTACTGAGCCTGATCGCGCTCTCCAGCCCCCAGCTGCGCGCACTTCCACCCCTTCCGCGGCCTCCTTCCACCCTCCAACCCCCCCCCCCCCCCCCCCCCCCCCCCCCCCCCCCCCCCCCCCCCTCCCCCCCCCCCCCCCCCCCCCCCCCCCCCCCCCCCCCCCCCCCCCCCCCCCCCCCCCCCCCCCCCCCCCCCC